CAGCTATTTGATCACCACAAATTCGAAACACTGAGAAACCGTTACCTGTAGAAAATCTGTTCATGAATGCATATTAACTTCCAGAGTATTTATTTGAAAACTAATCCGTGATAAAACCAAGACATACATGTAAACAATGCGTTCGCCCACTGCATATTCGCGCAGCCCGATTGTAAATGAGAAGAGCGATAGCCTGGAACCCTGTTCCAAGCTGCGCACCAACAGTGTTAGTAAACTAAAGGACAAGTTGCCAGTCGAGTGCGGAATTAGCTGCGAGTAACATGAAATCGTTTCTTATTGGTGGGTGACCTTGGTCTGGTCTGAGCAAGTGTCTCAGATTTCGACCAATCGACAGGACTGTAAGCTCGACACATGGTTAGACTGGTGTACGTATGATGGCTCACCTCGCAATGTTATGAAACGCTACTACGTTGCTACCGATGTGTACCAGACTACCAGTCTGTCTCTCTGCTGTCAAAGTGGAGAGTCGTAGTTACCAGGAGGTATACATATAACAACGCTGATGTGCGTTTCCTTAATTGTGAGCCCCGGCAAAGAAGCATAAACAGTCATCCGACGAGAGGAAGGAACAAGAGCCGCAGAGCGTCTGGGCTCATCTGAGGTCTGTTGCTACGATTATAAACGTAAAATTTCAGTCGTGGTAGTACCACATTTGTTAGGCGCAGATATGCAGACACGCAGTTGCGTACACATCATTGTTAGGACACGCCCACTATCGCAGATGGAGGGTGGGAGGGTGGGGGAAGGGGCGGGGGGGATGGGGTGGGGGAGGGGGGAGAGGGGGGAGGGTGGGGGAGGGGGCTCTAATAGCAAAAGCAGTTCACTCCTCTGTTAACAGTCAACAAATCCATGTTAACCCTCCTCTTGAGGGTCAAAAGGTTATCCGACACTTACTCTTCGCATGTCAGCAGAAGGGACATTTTAGTAGAGGACCTGGCTAAGATATGTATGCACATAATTTAGGAGAGGATATCTCAATTGTTATAGGCTAATATGACCCACAGAACAACTTGGGATGTGTGCCAAAATCTCTATCCGGGGCGAACAGCCCGAAATGACCACGCCCTTTTTCATCGAAAGTGCTATTACCGACATAGCTGTATCTTCTACCGTTGAGCTACAGATTTTCTGATATTACATGCTAAGAGTGTGAAATTGATATTTCACGAGAAAATGGCTAAAAATTATTAGGTCAACTTATTACCATACAAACAACTAACTACCTACTTACTGGAATTGCCATATATTTATAACAGTTGATATATCCTCTCTAAATTATGTGCATACTCCTCTAAGAAGTTCCCACTCCTCAATGACTGCTACATGAACGGTGGATTTGTCGTGACACCACCACAGGAACGGTAGTGGAGTGCACTTTGACCAACGGCGCTAGAGCAGCGCTACAACCGCCCTGCCAAAGTGTTTGGGGGGATAATTGGGGGGTCACCAGAAAGAAGAAAGCCGTTGCTCTGTGGGAATCATCAAGCATAAAAAAGACCAGTACGTTGACCTCCTGAAGATGAAGGATGATATCGAAAGAGAACTCTCACTTCACCACGAGTTTAACCCGAGTAATGCAACTAAGATAGTTGGGATGGTGCAAGCCATAGAGGAGTATCTCCTGAAGGTATGCAGCCCTCTACAAGACCAGGTAGCGCTGAAGAATGTTCTCACTGGAGAAATTGTGACCGACGTAAACGTAGACAAGTTGTTGCGCTGTATCAAGGAGGGCAGTGCTGCATGTGCTAAATTTATCGATGATCGACTCAAAAATAATCGATATCAATACACTCAACTATTAGCAAAATCAAGTTTAGGTCCTCTAAAGTAAGACCAGCTTGAATTTGGCTCCCAAAGCAGACATCAAAAATGAGACAATCAAAGCTCTCATGTTTATTTAGTATGGTGTCACCGGGGTTCACTGTTGAAGAACTACTCCAGCATGAGATCACCAACTCTGCGTCTTCTTGGTTGACAAAGATGGTTACTTGAGGAAGAGTGCCAATCACAACTTGGGACTGAGCTGCTGAGGTTGTGCCCACTGATAGATAAAAAAAGGGCCAGAAACCTCCCACACACCACAGCATCGTTCTCTGGAGTTCATGGCCTTGGTGAGAAAGGTCCGTTAAAGAAGCTTGATCCGCCCGTCAAGACATTCCATGACTTTGCTATTGCCTTGACATCTATGGTCACCAAAGCTGGCACAACTGATGAGATCCAACATCGTTTTCGACGCTTACAGAAAGGACAGCATCAAGAATGGAGAGAGAGAGAGAACAGGAAGTCAAAAGAAATGGTTGTCCTTGATGCGATATCACCGAACTAAAATGTGCCAGTGGTATTAGAGAACTTTTGGCGTCTTCCATCCGCAAAACTGCTTTCCATGCATTCTATGTTGAGTGGCTCACCACCAATTACCAAGGCACCAAACCTCTATACTTGGTATATCACCACAGGCATGATGGTGTCAGCTGGGTGTGCATCTCCATTTCCTGGCTCAACTGCACACATGAGGAAGCTGATGACAGGATGATGTTCCATGTGCAGGACATTCTAAGTCACCGGTTCAGGAGCTACATCCATGATGCTGTCATCAGGTGACACAGATGTCTTTGTGTGCCTGTTATACCACATCACAGTCAATTGGAGAGATCTTGGCTCCAAGACCTGTCTCATCCGCCAACTCAGGAGTGAAAAGATCAATATTACCACTCCACGATATCTGCATAGCGCTGGAGACGAGCTGTCTAAGTGTCTCCAGCACTCATGCGCTGACTGGGTGCGATACAACCAGCAAAGTATCAACAAAACTTTCAGCCTGAACGCTGTCTGCAACCGGAAAATTTCTCTCTGATCCTGAATTTCGACTGTCCACAGCTAACAGAAAGCGCAATACAAATGGCGGAAACATCTTGGTACAAATGGTCTCAAACCATCAAAACCCCCCCAGACCTGAAGACAGTTTGAGCGGCCGTGAGTCTTCGCTGCATTTGATAAGCAAATGCCCGTCAAGATGGACTTGAGAGAAAAGTCCACTTGCACCTCACTAATGCGAAGCAGACATTATCCATGGTATAGAGCCTATCACCAGCAGCAGTCTGTGGTCCAAGCCCATTTAGAGATCTCACTTTTGATTATAGAAATGCGAGTCCTTGTGTTTTGGAAGAAGCGGGCAGTTTATTAAGTCCGACTGCAGATTTGTCATCTCAAAAACCGCGATGCCTGCCAAGATCATGCGTGCGGCAAGTGGTGCTTCGCAAGAATGGGGTCCCTGCAGCGTAGCTGAGGAATTCAATGTTGGCAAGCTACTGCAAATGCAAGGGAGAGTTGATTTTGTAAAAACCGCTATCACTGTGAAAAAGAAAAAAAATAAAAAAAAAAAAGAAAAAAACTGCTCATCATCCTCTTGACGTGGACCCTGTTGGTGTTAGCTCTTCGTGTTTCCTGACCCTGGTTTACGTGACACATAAAACGATACCGATACTAATTGGTGTTAAAAGTTGTATTTGTTGGCTGTTGGGCAATTTCCCTGCTGATCTTTGTAAACATTTAAGCTCTCTATAGAAGACACAAATGTTCTAAATTTGATGCTAGTCTGGAAAGTTTAAGTTAGATAAATATATGGCAATTCCGATATGTAGGTAGTTAGTTTTGTATGGTTAATAAGTTTGACCTTGGCCATTTTCTCGTGAAATATTCCAATTTTCTATGACACCTAGACATGTAGTGGCCATTTCCGAACAATTTTGAGCACATCTCAAAATAATCTGTAGCTGCCATCGGTTTAGACAGATACACTATGTCGATAGTTAGCACAAAATTGCCGATGAAAAGGGGCTGGTCATTTTTAAAAGGGCGTGGTCATTTTTAGCTGTTCGCCCGGAATAGCTATTTTTGGGCACACATCCAAAGTTGTTCCTTGGAGGTCATATTAGCCTATAACAATTGAGATATCCTGCTCCTAAATTATGTGCATACTATCTTAGCCAGGTCCTGGACTATTTCATGCGTCCTTTCAATTAAAGCCATAAAAATGCTAGGTCACACGCTGAAACAATAAAAGTTTTTCAATCGCTCCCGCAGAGCATGTCTCCTCAGATAATGTCCTAAAATTGCCCTGTGCACACATGACCTTTGACCTGCTGACCTCAATTTCGGCAGCAGTTGATGGTGGTTTTCCACCATGATGCTATACACCGACTACTCACGAAGCCTAGGTTCGAGCCGTTTAGATTTGTGCCGCAATTCTGCATTTCCTCCCTATTACCTTAAGTTATAGGATGTGAATGTTCCCAACGCTTCTTTTACACTGCTTGACCTTTGACCTTTGACCCCCAGCTTGCGACATCCCAACTCGTTTTTGAACGACATCCCCCCCCAGACCCGAATATCGTGACCGTAACGTCGAGGGTAAGATTTGTGCCCCAACTGTTGACGGAACGGACGACCGACGGACACGGACGACCGGACGGAACGGACGATCATGCGATTCTACAAGCTGCATCTGACATGTCAGATTTAGGCTAAAAAAGAGGGATCTATGATTATGGGACATGATTAATGACTTATAAACACAAGAGACATGATAATACTGTAATTTGCTCCAAAATTGCTGGTTAGCAGCTTTGCTGGCGGGGGCCTGCAGCGCTTTTAGAGCTATAGAACCCTGGGCAGCGCCTATAGAGTTTTTCTGGCCAGGCAAAACACTGCTTCTCCGCTATCCTGGAACTTACTATTATCACAATACTCCAGTGTAAACGAAATATAACCTGTTACAAAAATTTCGAAGCGGATGAGCGCGATATTTAAGTGCCATTTCTGTTGACCTGTGACGGTAGACGCATTCCAAGTGCGCATAAGCGTGTCGCCTAACTTTGTCCAAATCACAATGATCATGGATGCTCTGCTGTCCAGTCATGACGTCACCAAGAGGCCAGCCATGTCAGGCCAACACAAGAAGCCGAAAAGTTACGAGGATGCTATGCGCATTGGATGCATACGTCACAGGGGGTCAACTCAGAAATGGCGGCTCGATAATATCCGCGGCCGCTCGATTGCCTTCGAAATTTTGTAACAGGTGTTAACATAAGCAGGCGTCGCAGCTCACCAATCGGCGCAGAAACAGAACCAAGCTCAACAGGAATAAAAACTGGGACACACTAAACTGAAACCACGATGTTCGAAGATCGGGAGGGGCAATGTGATGAGTACCGCCTATGCCGACTGTGGCCTTGCCAATGAGACCGTGGACCAGCAAGTTATTACATTGCTGCACGACTCACAGGGTTATATTAGGCAGGAAAGATGACTGACGACGATCGATCTGGGGGTATTGAAGACCAACACCAACCAAGCCAATCGACAATTCATTCACCCCTTTATGAGGGAAACACAGGAATCATACCACCAGAGATGGATGCCACCATCAAACAGGCCCTCTCCAGTATCCTGTCTGAGTCCATCCCAGTAAATCTTAGCCATAGACACTCCGTTTTTACAAATTTAAAAAACAAAACACCAATTATATATGAGGAAACATGGTAGTAACGAGATACAAAGAGGGGCATAATTGTGACACATGACCTCGTGAAGCAGGAAGGATAAACGAATAACAACAAACAACAAACAACAACAAAGGTTATATTAGTTAAGGAAAGCTCGCATTGGTAACCCTACTCCTTGTTAGGTTACATATTGCTTCTAATTCTGCAGTCATGATGACCAACCAAATTCAATCAGCACATCGATTGTTTGATCTCATAGATATATACAAACACATGTGTGTGTTTGTATATATCTATGATCTCAGATAGAGAAGAAGAGTGCGCGAGAGACGGAGAATAGAGAGCAGGTGAAGTGAGAGAAGAGGAGGGCGGAGAATGGGACTTAACCTTACGGTGGTGTGTCGGTGTGTATTAACTGTTGTGGATTTTACGCATCTTTTGATAATTACTCACTCTCGTCAACATATTAGGGCCTACAGCAGGCTAGTATCATGGTTCTGAGATGACCGCTATACACGCACTGGATCCTGGGTATGGAATCGATAAAATAAACTTGTGCGTGAGCAATATTAACTATTCATCCATTAACAACTACATTTGTAATTGACATTTGCAAACATAAATGAATAAAACTTATTATTACTCATATGGTTTCCCTATTGTACCAACAGCCATTATAGTTCATGCACTTATGTCATACACACTATGATTTTTTTAACTTTGCCGTTTCCAACCACTGCGGGTCATATGACCCTATAGCGGGAGCTAAGGGCTACCTACAGAAGCAATCAGCATTCGACGACGGCACTGTCAAGTAGTGGCATAGCCTAAGAATGTTCTCCTGTGTGTGTTTGAGCAAGAATAAATCAAATAAATGAATAATATGAATGAAATAATATAATTTATGAATAATTGTATGTCGCGAAATTCTCTTCGCGAGATTTCTGTAGTAAATTGTGTTCAGTAGACCTGTGTTTATAATTAGGAAGGAGAGCGCCCTAGCCTGAGGGGTGCAAAACTCCTATTTCATCCCCTCCCGTCCTTTCCCTTTTCTCCTTTGTTTCTCGCTCAGCTTCCTTCTTGTTCTCCAGCCCAGTTATCTTGCCTGCCGCCTGCCTTCAGTCTCACACCCCTCTCGCTCTCTCAGCAAGCAATATTATGAATTTGCATCAGTCCGTACTGCACTCATGAAACGGTACTCGAGTATGCTCAAAATATCCCGAAAAGAAGAATATTTAGCAAAAAACTCAAAAGCATTTAAAATGAAGAAGAGGTATTTTAGCATAGATTTAAATTATAAAAATCTATCAGTAGACTCTTCTTAAGAATAGGAAGCAGACCTTGCATGTAAGGTCCCGCCGCATATACCAGTCAGTACACAATCTGGCTACGTTAGTGTGTTAGCGCATGCGCAATATCTCATCATTTTGTGATGAATATACATTTAATATGGTTATGGGTTATTTCAGCATAGATTTCTGTAATAAATTCTTATCAGTAGACCTGTG